TCCAGCCCCTCTCCAGGAGTGCGGTTCCAGAACACTTGCTGTGTGTGGAAGTGAGCCCAACTATAACACAGAGATGTAAGGGCTAAAGTGAAGACCAGGTGCCCATATGCATTTTTTAACCAATTCCTTCCATCTCTTGAATTTTGTGTTAGCACATGAAGTTAAATACATCCAATCTGCAACGGTATTGTTTGCAGTATTGGAGTATTTCCATAACCTTTTCTCAAGGTTGGACTTATAAACTGGGATCCTCCCAGAGGTTGGTTAAACCCCAGTACCATTAGGCCCTGTGACACGGTGACAGTTCAAAAGCAAAGCAGTGCATGAGGGTGAAACATGCTGAGAAGGATCCTCTGTTTACATCAAAGAAGGTCAGGAGGACGGACTTTTTCTACAAGTAACCGGTGAGTCAGAAAGTTTTCCCCCTTCATCAATGGTATGCTATGGCCTGATGTATTACTTTTCCATCTGTTGTATGTTAAACTGTAACACTGGATTTAATGGCTGGTGCATTTGTTATGATGTACAAACTTATTGTATTTCCGTGTCAGGTTTTAGCTTCAGTTAGCTTTTGGTTTTAACTGACAATGGTGTCCTAAGTGCACAGGACACATGATGTTTGTGTGGAGTCTGAATGAGACTTGTGTTGCTTTGGACAAGCAAACCATTTTCCTGAGGTCAGCTTATTGGGCCTTCTCTTATTTTGATCGTGTAGGGGGGTAAACCAGAACTATATTCTTTGTGTACGTACGTGCACGTTGCGCTTACTCAGTGGAATTAGACATAAACCGTTATTGGGATGTCTGGCTGTACACTTTAAGACATAAGATCAGAGTGTATGCCCTTCATTGTTGTTCTGCTAGTCAATTTAATTGGGGCTTGTTATTGTTTACCTGATCATATATGTCAAATCATGACATCATAAGAATGCCATGAGGGTATGTGCCACTAAGCTTGTAATGGTTGGTGGATTTATGACTGTGTTGGATTTGTTACTTGCTTTACTCGAATACCCCTTTGCTTTAAGTCATAATATCAGAATTTCTGTCCTATTTTATCAGTCTGTGATTTGATATAATGATGGTTTGCTATTGTTTACCTGAAGTTGTATGCCTGTAAATGCTTTTGTGATAATAATAATTGATTAGATTTATATAGGGTTGCAAGGTGGCTCCGT